CGCCGCTGAGCAGCTCCGCCGTGCTGGTGGCTTGGGAGAGGCCCGAGCTGCACAGCGAGCAGATCATCGGCTTCTCCCTTCACTACCAGAAGGCACGGGGTACGTCCCCCACCCCCCATCCCCGGCGCCCCAGTGGGGTCTGCACCGGGCTCCCTCCCCGGGGAGGGAGGGGCACACGGTGGGTGACAAGTTGGGCTGAGGAGGGAAGGCCTGGGCGCCTGTGATTATCCGCTGACCTGTCCTTTGGCCTGGAGCCAGAGAGGTCAACTGATGTGTCCCCACTTCTCTTTTGTGAGAGAGGAGGGTTTCTTGTGGTTCATTGGAGATAAGAGTCTCGCAGCCTTTCCTGTCCAGGCTGGCTTTGAACCATGATCCTCAGATCTCAGCTTCCTGAGTTGTTAGGATTACAGGCGTGAGCTGCCAGGGCCTGGCTCTTCTGTACATTCTTGGAGCCACCTGGTTAAGGAGCTGCCCTGGGCTGCATGGGGAGTCATTTCAGGTAGATACTAGGAGGCAACTTCCTAACCCATAAAGGAATTAATCCCCTGAGAAAAAGCCGAGGGAGTTCACACACTCCAGCTCAGATGATCTGGGTAGACTAATCTAGACACTGGGATGATATAAAGACAGACTCTAGTTCCCCAGTGGCTGAGATGGCCCTGTGACAGTCTCTTTGTCCCTTATGTCATCTCCTCAGGCTTGGACAATGTGGAATACCAGTTTGCACTGAACAACGACACCACAGAACTTCAGGTTCGGGATCTGGAACCTAACACGGATTATGAGTTCTACGTGGTGGCCTACTCTCAGCTGGGGGCCAGCCGCACCTCTGCCCCTGCACTGGTCCATACCCTGGATGATGGTAGGGTCTCTGAACCTGCATTGAGCAGCTTGGGGGGGGGGTGACTCCCCTGGGGATGGTGCCCACCCCTCCTTCTGTTTGCTAGTACATCCCGCAGCGTGTTCACCCGCCTCGTGGTATTCTTTATGTCCAGTAAGGGACTGGCAGGGGTTCTTCTCTCCGGTTTACCACTGGGAAACTGAGGCCTAGAAAAATGAAATGACTTGCCCAAGGTCAGTAGCAAGAACTTGAGCCCAATCTTACGTTCCTCATAGTCCATGCTCTTCCCCGCCCCTATCCTACCTGGGTAGGGCCCCATCAATGGTGGTAACCATTGAGTGTGGAAAATGTGTGCACACCCTCTGCTAGGGTAGATGTGCCCTCATCCTTCAGCGTGGGACTCCCCTGAGAGGCTCCCTTTCCTCCCTCAGATCCTGGTCCTGGGCCTCCTTCTGACTTGCTGTGTGACCTGGGCAAGGCTCTGACTGCTCCTGAGCCTCACCTCCCACGTCGGTGGAGCAGAGCTCACGTTGCTGTTCTTCTGTCTCAGTCCCCAGCGCAGCGCCTCAGCTAGCCCTGTCCAGCCCCAACCCCTCGGACATCAGGGTGGCGTGGCTGCCCCTGCCCCCCAACCTGAGCAATGGGCAGGTGGTGAAGTACAAGATAGAGTACGGTTTGGGAAAGGAAGGTGAGTGGGTGGCTGGAGATGGGAGTGGGGTGGGTAATGGGGAAAGTTGGCTCTGGAAGGGTGAGCAGGGCAGGCTGGAGCAGGGCCAGTGGGCAAGAAAAGGGAGGGGAAAGTGGGTATATCAAGGCAGGGAGACTGGGTCTCTGCAGATAGGTCTTCTGTGAAAGTGGCAGGTAGTCCAAAGGCTCCTTGGGACCCTACTAGCTCTGTGTGTGTGTGTGTGTGTGTGTGTGTGTGCGCGCGCGCGCGTGGGTGATCTTGAACTCAGGGCTTCTCACTCTCTCACTCAAAGCTGGTGCTCTACCACTTTACCCACACCTCTACATCTGGCTTTTTGCTAGTTAACTGGAGCTAGGAGTCTCGGATTTTTCTGCCTGGGATGACTTCAAATCACATCCTTTAGATCGATCACAGCCCCCTGAATAGTTTAGGATTACAGGTGTGAGCCATCGGTGCCCAGCTCCCCCTTCCAACTCTAAAAGCAGATGAGAGGCAGAGAGGTGGCAGGTGTATTGGTGGAGCTGAGTGCCAGGGTGCGGGTGAGGAGGAAGAACTGGGCAGGCTTAGGAAAGTTGACCCTAGATGCTAGGTGCTGTCAACAGGCTTCAGGCCAAGCAAGTCCTGGTGCCTGCCCACTGGCTTGTGGGTTGGGTTTACTCACCATGTGAGGGAGGGGAGAGTGAATGGGGGAGGAGCAGGGATGGGAGGGGGAATGGGTGTGTCCTCTCTATGGAGCTGAGACTGATGGGCTGCCTGAGAATGGACCTTGATCTTGCCCAGTACTGGGGGGGGGGAGGAGTTTTGGGGCCCTGGGGATCTACATCTGAAGTAGAAGAGTCGACCTAGGGAGTCTTGAGATCATGGTCCCCAGATCTAGACAGCCAACAGCCTCATCTTTTCTGACCCAGCAGATCAAGTTTTCTCCACCGAGGTGCCAGGGAACGAGACGCAGCTCACGTTAAGCCTGCTACAGCCAAACAAAGTGTACCGTGTACGGATATCAGCTGGCACCGTGGCAGGCTACGGGGCTCCTTCCCAGTGGGTGCAGCACAGGACTCCAGGAGCGCACAACCAGAGCCAAGGTAGGTGGCCAGAGGGACTCTTTTGCTCAAGGCTAGCACTGTATTATTTTGAATCACAACTCCACTTCCGGTTTCCTGGTGGTTCATTGGAGATAAGAGTCTCACAGACTTTCCTGCCTGGGCTGGCTTTGAACCTCAGTCCTCAGAGCTCAGCCTCCTGAGTAGCTAGGATTACAGTTGTGAACCACCAGTGCCCAGCGTCAAGCAAACTATTTAAACTATTTGTGTGTGTGTGTGTGTGTGTGTGTGTGTGTGTGTGTGTGTGTGTGTGTGTGTGTGTGTGTGTACTAATACTAGGGCTTGAACTCAGAGCCTGGGTGCTCTTCTCTAGCCTTTTTGCTCAAGGCTGGTGCTCTACCACTTGAGCCACAGCTTCACTTCTGCCTTTTGGTGGTTACTTGGAGATGAATCTCAGGGACTTTCCTACCTGATCTGGTTTCGAACCTGGTTCCTCAGATCTTAGCCTCCTGAGTAGGTAGGATACCATGCAGGAACCATTATATAATTGTTATTTTTGCTGAGAATCCCAGAGTGATTTGATGAAGGTAAAACCAGCATGCCTATTACAATGAGCAGAGCACTTAACTTCCACAACCTCCATTTTCCTATCTATGAAATGGAAATAGTGTTTTCACTTTTACATAAGTGAAAACCAGTATTAACTTTATTGTGAGAGTAAAGTTACAATACATTTACAGAGCATTTCAAACAGTGTAAGCCCTCTACTTCCCCCCCCCTTTTTTTTTTTGTTTGAACTCAGCAACTCTACAGTGCTGGGCTTGTTTGCTTGACTGGTGCTCTGCCACTTGAGCCACGCTTCCAGCCTGGCATTTTGCTGGTCAAATTGGCGATGGAGTTTTACAAACATTTCTCCCTGGACTGGCTTCAAACCAAGATCCTGCAGATCTCAGCCTTCTGAGTAGCTGGGATTACAGGCATGAGCCTCTGGTGCCTGGCAGCCTGCCACTTGGACTACAAATGGAACTCCTGAAAAGGCTCTGGTGTCAGCAGCCCCTGGCTTGTATTTGTTCTTTTAGGAGACATTAAGGTTCCTCTGTGGGTATGTCTAGAGGTGCCCTTTGCTGAGCCATTCAAATACTCAGTAGCCTTTTGTCCAGATTATATCCGAGGATGGTGGCTAAGTGGCATCAAATTAGGACAGCCCCAACAAGGCCACCATCCTGCTTGCCCCTTCTTTTCCTTTTTTTTTTTTTTTTTTGTCGGTTGTGGGGCTTGAACTCTGGGCCTGGGCGCTGTCCCTCAGCTCTTCAGCTCAAGGCGAGCACTCTACCACTTGAGCCACTTCCGGCTTTTTTCTTATGTGGTGCTGAGGAATCGAACCCAGGGCCTCAGGCATGCAAGGCAAGCGCTCTACCACTGAGCCACCTTCCCAGCCCTGTTTGAATTGTTTTTTTTGCTTGTTTGCTTTTATGCAGGTCTTGGTTTCGAATTAAGGACCTGGGTGCAGTCCCTGGCTTTATTTATTTATTTATTTACTTTGGTGATTAGTTAAAGAGTCTCAGGAAGCCAGGTGCTGGTGGCTCACGCTTGTCATCCTAGCTACCCCAGGAGGCTGAGGATTTCAGTTTGAAGTCAGGACCAGGCAGGAAAGTGCAAGAGACTCTTATCTCCAGTGAACAACCAAAAAGCCAGAAGAGGAGCTGTGGCTCAAAGTGGTAGAGTGCTAGCCTTGAGAAACAAAACAAAAAAAAAGTCCAGGGACGGCACTCAGGCCCTGAGTTCAAGACCTAGGACCAGGCAGGAGGAGGGGAGGGACGGAAGGAGTCTAGAGAAAATGCTTTGGGACCTGGAAGCCACTGTCCACGGCTAGGGATGAGTGCCCTTCCCCCTTTGGCTGCATTCCTCTGCAGACCTGCCCATCCCGCGGGGGCCGCCCCTGCCCCCCGCCCACGTGCACGCAGAATCCAACAGCTCCACTTCCATCTGGCTGCGCTGGAAGAAACCAGATTTCACCACCGTCAAGATTGTCAACTACACCGTGCGCTTTAGCCCCTGGGGGCTTCGGAATGCCTCTCTGGTCACCTACTACACCAGGTGCGGCCGTAGCTAGTGCTATGAAGGGGGCTGGGGGTGGGGTGGGGGTGCAGATGATGCTAGGGGAGGGACCTGGGAGCCAGGGACATTCCTGAGCTCACCTGTCACACGCCCCAAGGTGTCTTCATGGGGTTCACCTTCCTGCAGGCCAGAGACAAATAGTGACAGAGGACAGCCTGGCTCATCCCATTCCCCTCACAGCCGAGCCACAGCTCCTCCTTGGGAAGATGACTTGTTGTACCAGCCTCCCCATCCAGTGGGGAGACACCCCTGCCCTCCCCGCAGAGGCCCGTCTGTCAATCAGCTGCTGTTTTGACAGAATTATGTAAAAAGCCACAGGTAAAGCCGGGCGCCCCCTAGTGGCTCATACCTGTAATACTCAGGAGGCTGAGATCTGACAATCCCAGTTTCAAGCTAGACCAGAAAGGAAAGTTCATGAGCCTCTTATCTCCAATAAATCACCAAGTGCTAAACATTGGAGCTGTGGCTCAAGTGGTAGATCACCAGCCTTGAGCTTTTAAAAAGCTTAAGGGACAGCTGGGCACCAGTGGCTCACACCTGTAATCTTAGCTACTCAAGAGGCTGAGCTCTGAGGATCAAGGTTCAAATCCCCGTGAGACCCTTATCTCCAGTAAACTACTCAAAAAAGCAGTAAGTAGTTCTGTGGCTCAAGTGGTAGAACACTAGCCTTGAGCACAAAGAGGCTCAGGGATAGTGCCCAGGACCTGAGTTCAAGCCCTAGGACTAGCAAAAGAAATGCTAAGGAGCTGGGCGCTGATGGCTCATGCCTGTAATCCTAGCCACTCAGGAGGCCGAAATTTGAGGATTGAAGTTCAAAGCCAGCCTGAGCAGGAAAGTCCATGAGACTCTTATCTCCAATTAACCAACAGAAAACCAGTAGTGGCGCTGTGCCTCAAGTGGTAGAGCACTTGCCTTGAGCTGAAGAGCTGAGGGACAGTGCCCAGGCCCAGAGTTCAAGCCCCAGTACACACACACACACAGACACACACAGTTGTACAAGTATAGTAAAGGTAAAATTAAGCCAACAAAAGATGTTTTAATAATGGTTCCTTGGGTGAAGAATAATTTGGATGTGATCAGGAAAGCTTCCTGAAGGAGGCATCCATCTTGGAGATGAGACATAGAAAAACCTACATTAGAGCTCTCTGGAGGTTTTGTGGGTGGTACTGGTAGCCCCAAGCCAGGGAAGTAGCTCCCCTTCCAGGCTAGGGCCCAGGCCTGAGCCAGGGCCCTGCATGGAGCATGCGCCAGCCCGGATCCTGTCCCGGCAGTGCTGGAGAAGACATTCTCATTGGAGGGCTGAAGCCGTTCACCAAGTATGAATTTGCGGTGCAGTCCCATGGCGTGGATATGGATGGGCCTTTTGGCTCCGTGGTAGAGCGCTCCACCCTACCTGACCGTGAGTGGCCCTGGCTCTCTCGCCACAACCCAAAACCCTTTCTTCTAGAACCCTAAGAGATGTGCAGAAAGCCTTCTGGGAGGGTTCAGTGCTTCATCCCCTCCCTCCTTTCCCCAAACTCCCCAAACCCACTACCCATGGCTCATGCCTGTCACCCTAGCTACCCAGGAGGCTGAGATCTGAGGATCACAGTTCAAAAGCAGCCCGAGCAGGAAAGTTCATGAGATTCTTATGTCCAATGAACCACCAGAAAGCCAGAAGTGCAGCTGTGGCTCAAGTCGTAGAGCGCTAGCCTTGAGTGAAAAAGCTCAGGGACAGCACCCAGGTCCTGAGTTCAAGCCCCAGGACTGGCACAATTAAAAACAAAAATCCCCAATGAGGCCTCACCTTTGCTGTGTAGCTTTTTTCCAGTGAAAGAGGAAAAAGGGGAGACGGTGTCCACATCTCCTGACTCCCAACGGTCCCCAGGACTGGGATTCTCGGTGTCCCCTCGTCTCTCCACCTAGTCTGTCCCCTGCACTCTAGGACCCTCGACACCGCCATCTGACCTGCGCCTGAGTCCGCTGACACCGTCCACTGTCCGGCTTCACTGGTGTCCTCCCACAGAGCCCAACGGTGAGATCGTGGAGTATCTGATCCTCTACAGCAACAACCATACCCAGCCTGAGCACCAGTGGACACTGCTCACCACAGAGGGTGAGAGCCCCACCCCAGGGCACCTGGGCCCCATCCCGCAGCTCCCCTTCTTTTGCAACAGTGGGTGGTACTTACCCCGGTTTGTAGCTCACGCCTGTAATCCCAACTATTCAGGAGGCTGAGGTCTGAGGATCACAGTTCCAAGCCAGCCGTGGCAAGAAAGCCTGTTAGACTCTTAATCTCCAATTAACCACCAAAAAAAAAGAAAAAAAAGCCAGAATGAAGCTGTGATTCAAATGGGGTAGAGCAAAACTCAGGGACAGCACCTAGGCCCTGAGTTCAAGCCCCAGGATCAGCTCACACACACATTAAAAAATGTCTAGGGGCTGGGAGTGTGGCTTAGTGGTAGAGTGCTTGTCTAGCGTGCATGAAGCTCTGGCTTTGATTCCTCAGTACCACATACACAGAAAAAGCCAGAAGTGGTGCTGTGGCTCCAGTGGTAGAATGCTAGCCCGAGCAAAAGAATCCTTAGCCAAAAAAAAATGTTCAGGGACAGTTCCCAGGTCCCTGAGTTCAAGCCCCAAGACTGGCCCAAAGAAAAGTCTAGCAATGGATTGTGTTGAGGTTTGTTCCAGGGCTTCTGGACAGAACAGGGAGAGGGCTCCTGCCAGTGTGCGTACGGTAGCCTGTTTCTCAGCCTTCTTTATTGCCTGCCATCCAGCTTTCCTGCTTCCCTCCCCACCAGGAAATATCTTCAGCGCTGAGGTACACGGCCTGGAGAGCGACACGAGGTATTTCTTCAAGATGGGGGCGCGCACAGAAGTAGGACCCGGGCCCTTCTCCCATTTGCAGGATGTCATCACGCTCCAGGAGAGGCTCTCAGGTAAAAGGCAGGAAGGACCCCCTCCCTGCCCCCCAAGATAGCCCTGATCCTACACGCAACCCCACTTGCAGGATTTGGAGGCATTGCCCTTCTGATTTGCTGGTGTGTGGGGGGGGGTGGATTTAAAGGGACAGGTGGCAGGTAAACCACTGGCATAGGGAAACCAGGGTAACTGAGAGACCAGCTCCTTGGAGTGGTTGCCTGGATTGGAGGATCACCTTGGTGAGTGACAAGCTTTATGCACAGCCAGATTGCTACGTCACTTGCAGGACTCAATGCAAAGTGAAAATGACGGTCTAACTGGATGCCTAGTGGCTCATGCCTGTAATCCCAGCTATTCAGGAAACTGAGGTCTGAGGCGTGAGGTTCAAAGCCAGGCGGAGCCAAAAAGTCCATAAGACTTATCTTCAGGGGCTGGGAAGGTGGCTCAGTGGTAGAGCGCTTGCCTTGCATGCCAGAGGCCCTGGGTTCAATTCCTCAGCACCACATAAGAAAAAAGCCGGAAGTGGCGCTGTGGCTCAATTGGTAGAGCGCTAGCCTTGAGCTGAAGAGCTGAAGGACAGCGCCCAAGCCCAGAGTTCAGGCCCCATGACGGGACCCCCCCCAAAAAAAAAAGACTTATCTTCAATGAACCAGCAAAAAGCCAGAAATGGAGCTGTGGCTCAAGTGGTAGAGCACCCGGTATGAGCAAGAAAGGCCAAGGGAGGGTATAAGGCCCTGAGTTTAAGCCTCAGTACTTGAAAAATGAAAGGAAAGGAAAGAAGAAAGGAAGGAGAGAGAGAAAGAAAGAACAGAAACTACAAATTTGGGGTGAATTGCAAAGAGAACCCCCCCCCCGTGGGTGTTGAGCAGTATTTCCGTGTAGCCACAGCCCGCCCTGTCCTGTTCTTGTAGCCGCAGCATCATCATATCCTCTAAGCATCCAGAGGCCGAGGCCGAGCCCAGATCACTGAGCCCTGTGCTCTTCCCCTGCCCTTCACCTGCTCCCTCCCTTCTCTCCCTGCAGACTCCCTGGACGTGCACTCAGTCACCGGCATCATCGTGGGCGTCTGCCTGGGCCTCCTGTGCCTTCTGGCCTGCATGTGTGCTGGCCTGCGACGCAGCCCCCACAGGTAGGTGTAACATTGGCCCTGAGCATTCCCTCACCTCCAGAATCCCATTTGATTTAGGACTCTGGGACCTGGGGTGCAGCTCAGTAGTAGAGTACTCACACAGCATCTGTGACACTCTGGGTTTGATTCCCAGCACTGGTTAAAAAAAAAAAAAAAAGTCTATTGCAATTCACCAGTGGCTCATGCCTGTAATCCTACCTACTCAGGAGACAGATCTGAGGATTGTGGTTTGGAGCTAGACCAGGCAGGAAAGCCAAAGAGACTGATACCTCTGGTTAAGCACTAAAGTCACAAGAGACGCTGTGGCTCATATAGTAGAGTGCTAGCCTTGAGCAAACAGAAGCAAGCGCTCAGATTCTGAGGTCAAGCTCCAGGATATTCTCTCTCTCTCTCTGTCTCTCTGTCTGTCTCTGTCTCTCTCTCTGTCTCTCTCTCTCTCTCATACACACACACACACAATATGTCCCCAATTTCCATGCAGCTATGTCAGACTGCTTTAGCAATAATGTGTCCTGATCAGGACACACACTGGTAAATCAAGTCCTGGAGCTCGCAGGAGAACTTGGCTGGCTGGGTCCCAGTCCTATCCAGCTCTTCCCTCTGACCTTGCTGCCTTGTTTCCCATGATCCTTTCCAGGGAAGCCCTCCCTGGCCTGAACTCCACGTCCACCACTGGGAACCCAGCCCTCTACTCCAGAGCCCGGCTTGGTCCCCCCAGTCTCCCCGCTGCCCATGAACTGGAGTCCCTTGTCCACCCTCGCCCTCAGGACTGGTCCCCACCACCCTCCGACATGGAGGACAAGGCTGAAGTGCACAGCCTTATGGGTGGTGGCCTTTCTGACTGCCCAGGCCACTCTAAGAGGAAGGTGAGTCCTCACACTATGTCATATGCCTGAAGAAGACACAAGGGGGCAGCAGAGCCCAGCAAGAAAGGACAGAATGCCTCTTCTACCCATCCTCAGCTATAGAAGAGGAGCTTCTTTCCCTTCCTTAGACTAAACCAACCTATAGTCCAGGGATCGTAGCTCCTGCCTGTAATCCTAGCTATTCAGGAGGCTGGGATTTGAAGATTGTGGTTCAAAGCCATCCCAGGCAAGGAGATTGTGAAATTTATCAACAATTAACCACCAAAAAAGCCAAGAGTGGAGCTGTGGCTCAAATGGTAGAGTACCAGCCTTGAGCAAAAATATTCAGGGACAGCACCCAGGCCCTGAGTTCAAGCCCTAGGATTGGTACAAACACACCAAGAAGTATATATCAGCCTAGTTTGCGTGGTTCCCGCTGGGGGAAGACCTCAGTGCATATTTGCAGGTCACTCCATCTGGATACAACCCCTAGATCCTTCTGGGTCCTCAAAGAGGTTTTAGCAGGGAACCGGCTGGCAAATGAGATGGTATGGGGCCATCAGTTGATTGGGGGTCAGCTCTTCCTAGCCCATCTACTTCCTCCCCTCCTGTTTTCTTCCCCCAGACAATCCCTGTCATGCCTTTCTGTGTCCCCGCCCCCCCTTTTTTTTTCTATACAGATCTCCTGGGCTCAGCCAAGTGGGCCCAACTGGGCAGGTTCCTGGGCAGGCTGTGAACTGCCCCAGGCTGGCCCCAGGCCTGCTCTGACCCGCGCTCTGCTGCCCCCTGCTGGAACTGGACAGACACTGCTGCTGCAGGCTCTTGTGTATGATGCCATCAAGGTTAGTTCTGCAGGAGGAAGGGAAAGGCAAGAAGGACAGGTCCCTATGCTGTGAAGAGGAAACAAACCCCTCGGTGGTGACTCCACTGGGGGCAGAAGGATCCTCCAAAGGTGAATGGGGTGACAGGCAGGCCAATTCCGGCATTATCTATCATGGATCAGCCGTGCACCAGTGGCTCTCGGCCTCTGTGTTGGGTACTGGCTAAGTATTTGCCGCCTCCCATCCCCTCCACTTGCCACAGTGAACTCGCTGGGTGCTGGTAGCTCACGCTTATAATCCTAGCTACTCAAAAGGCTGAGATCTGAGGATCCCAGTTGGACACCAACACAGGTAGGAGAAAAGTCCATGAGACTCTTGTTTCCAATTAACCACCAAAAAGCCAAACCCTTCTTCCTATTTGGCTGCCTCAGGGTCCTTCTGGGATGTCTGGATTAGGTGGGCAGTAGTCCGTCTCTCCTTGCCTTTGTCTGGGCCTGAGCACTGTTTGGTGAGCCAGTCTGTTTTATCCCCAGCAATTTTTTGTGTGTGTTTTTTGGTCAGTCATGGGTCTTAAACTTGGGGCCAAGGCACAATTCCTACACTCTTCTGCTCAAGGCTAGCACTTTACCACTTGAGCCACTTCCAGGTTTCTGGTGGTTAACTGGAGATGAGTCTCATGGACATTCCTGCCCAGGCTGGCTTTGAACCCCGATCCTCAGAGCTCAGCCTCCTGAGTAGCTAGGATTACAGGCATGAGCCACCGGCGCCCAGCTATCCCCAGCATTCTTGTGACATACACTCACATGAGCGATCATCAGTCTCTCTACCCCATAACGGGTTCACTTTTTTGGCTGTCATTCATGTGATGGTCACCTGGTCTTTGTGTTCTGTCCTCTAAACCAGGGCACCGGGAGGAAGAAAACCCCGCCAGCCTGCAGGAATCAGGTGGAGGCTGAGGTCATTGTCCATTCTGACTTCAGTGCATCCAAAGGAAGCCCTGACCTCCATCTCCAAGACCTGGAATCAGAGGATGCCCTGCCTTCAGAGGCCCCTGCGCTCACTTCCAGTGTTGCCGATCTTGGGCAAGGAGCTGATTGGCTGGACCGAGAGCTGGGCGGGTTCGAGCAGGCAGCCACTGGGCCAGACAGACTTAGCTGCCTGCCCGAAGCAGCCAGTGCCACCTGCTCCTACCAGGAGGTCCTGCCCATTGAGGCATCGGAAGAGGCCCCTGGGAACAGTCGCCAGCCCAAAACCCTGTGCCCTCAAGGAGCCAGCCCAGGCCTTCCTAGGTCCCCCTTTTCTTCCTCTGCTTAGCTCCTCTGAGCAGAAGTGCATTTGAGGCAGGCTGGTGGCGCTTATAGCGCAGAACACGCACAACCACATATGTACGTGTGTCACATAGGTGATACATGTGTGAGACTCAGCTGTCTGTGACGTGCCGATGTGTGAAGCCACATAGATGCGTTGGATTGGAGCTGGGGACGCCTTGATCCACTCAGTGGCCCTTCACTGTCTTTGATCTTCCAAGTCAGTGGGCCAGTGTGCTCAGCCTCCAGCCTCCAGCCTCCTGTTACTCACTCTAAGAGTGCCTCCCTTTCCCTGTCTACAGAGACAGCCCCAGCCCCATCTCCTGCTGGCTGGGCTGAGCGCAAGTAGGCTCCAAGGCCTAACCTTGCAGCCAAATCCCCTTCATTTCCTGCCCTTCCCCAAATCCTCCTATGTTCCTAGCAACTCTGCACCTAATTTTTGCCATTTGGGAAGTGCCTGGATCTAGAACTCTCTTTTCTTTTGCTCTCTCTCCTCACTCCTCCATGTCTCTGCTCATCAGCTTGCTGCTCCACTTCTGGGGCTTTCTTTCCCCTCCCCGCCCTGGCTGTCAGACCTTCTTCCTCTTCTGCTTTCTCTTTATGTCTTTTTTTTTTTTTTTGTACCAGTCCTGGGGCTTGAACTCAGGGCTTGGGTGCTATCCCTGAGCTTTTTTGCTCAAGGCTAGCGCTCTACCACTTGAGCCACAGTGCCACTTCCAGCTTTTTTTCTCCCCCCCCCCGCCCCCCGTGGTGGTTAATTGGAGATCAGAGTCTCATGGACTTTTCTTGACCAGGCTGGCTTAGAACCATGATCCTCAGATCTCAGCCTCTTAAGTAGCTAGGATTACAGACACGAGCCATCAGCATTCAACACTCCATGTCTCTTCTGTCTCTTAAGCCACGCCCGCTGTCATCTGCTTCTCCTGCTTTGGTTCAGCCTCTGTGTCCTGCCCTGCCAACATGACTACCTCATGTCTGCTTTAAGGCTATCGTGCAACTCCCTCTGCTCCTGCATCAGCCCCCTTCCCAGGCAGGTTTGGAGAAGACTCCGGCCTCCATCCTGGCCTTGGGATGGGAGGGGCTCTCACGGAGGCCAGGGATCCAAGTCACTGGGGATGTTCTGAGACAGGACATGGACTGTCCCAGACGCTTGGAGTGAAATGACCGGGCAAGGAGGCAGGTGTGCTGGACAGAGGTGGCTTGGGCCTTTCCTTCCTGCTCAACTTGACTGGATCTGGGGTGGAACACAGGCGTCTTCCCCCCTCCAGGGTGCCCAAAGGAAGGTCTTTGTGCAGGAAAACAGTCGTTTCATTTTGCTTTTCTTTTCAATTGAATCCTGAAATCATCTTCGGTTGACCTATCGTGCAGGAACAAGCTTGACTCTACTTCTTGCCTGGTGCGGAAGGTTATTTGCTTTTTACCTTGAGCCCTCTCCTAAGGTAAGAGGTAGTATCTCAGCTCCCTGATTGCATCTGTGTGTGTGGGTGTCTGTGTGTCTGTGTGTGTGTGCCGGTACTGGGACTTGAACTCAGGGCCTCATGCTCTTGCTTGGCTTTTTCTACTCAAGACTATCACCCTACCATTTGAGCCACACCTCCACTTCCAGCTTTGGACTGGATCACTGGAGAGAAGAGTCTCTAAGATGTGTCTGCCTGGGCTGGCTTTGAACCATAATCCTCAGATCTCAGCCTTCAGAATGGCTAGGATTATAGGTGTGAGCCATTAGTGCCCAGCATCTAATTGCATCTTTTTTTTTTAACTGATCGGCACATCAAGAGTTAATAGTGGCTTCTGGGCCATATTAGAAATAACCAGTCTATTTTTTTTTTAATGGTGAAATGTCTCTCAGCAGAGTTGCAGTTTCCTTAGACCCCCAAAAGCATCTGTTTCATACACTCGGATGTCATTCATATTTGACACCTACATTTCCTCCGCTCCGGCTTCAGCCAGCCAACGACAACACTAACGATTATTCATGTGGGTCTTGTTTCTCATTAAAGGCAGACATGTGTTACAATTTCTTACTATTCTGGTAGCATTTGGAGTCGCTCAGGCGACACACCAGTGTGTAAGTTTCCTCATTGCTCTGAAGGTCAAATCTTCTTTTTATTTTATTGGTTTGATTTTTTTTTTTTAAGAAAGGAAAGGAAAAAAACCCTACTCTGAATTAAATAGCTATTTTAACAGTAGGCTCTTAGCGTTACAGCACAGAGTCATTCTTCATGTTCTTGTTTAACAGGCATTGAGGTTCTGGTTTAAATTAAATAGCTGTAAATGAGACAATTTATAACCCATTAGGTTGGGTGGAAAATTGTTTCTCAAAAAGCAAATAAGTAATAAATCTGGTATCTGCCTGTAATTCACAGTTGATAAGCAAGTGGCCATTACTCCCTAACATTATATATGATTTGGCCCTGAGTAATTTGGAAGCGTTCAGTTTGTGTCTTTGTAGCAGTACTTTGTTTTGTTGTTATTAGAAAAGAGTCTGTTAGTCTTCAGGGCATTAATCCCTGTGTTACCTACCATGGATGCCTTAAGTTTCTTGAGTGTCATTTTCTTGATGCATGGACAAAGTGTAAGCAGTACTCGCTCAGTTATTTGTATTTAGTTTGTGCTGTATTTAATGATTTTTTTTTCCATCACAGGTTTTTTCCTCCTTACAAATATGATATTCTTTAGTGTGAAGCTAAAGCATTGATCATGTATCTATACCTATAATTAATTAATAAACTATTTTCCAGACGTGTTTGGGAATCGATGGGTAGAATTTCCTCAGCTTTGGGGAATTTGTTTTCTATGAGTATGAAGAATGGTGGGGGGTTTTTTTAGAGTAGAGAGCAGATGGTCACAAGGGGGGAAAAAAACAGAACTATCTTCCCTTCAGTAGGTACTTAGGGAAAAACTGGAAACTTCAAAAAGGTTGTTGGGCTCCCGTGGCTCATTCCTGTAATCACAGCTACTCAGGAAGTTGAGATCTGAAGAATGTCATTTGAAGCCAGCCAGGCGGGAAAGTCGCTGAGTTTCTTTTTTCTTTTGGTGCCAATCCTGGGGCTTGAACTCAGGGCCTGAGCGCTGTCCTTGAGTTTTTTTTTTTGTTTTGTTTTTTGCCAAGCTAATCCTCTACCACTTGGCCCACACCTGTACTTCAAGGTTTTTTTATGTGTGTTTTTTTTGTGGTTAATTAGAGATTGGACTTTTTTTTTCTTTTTGTCAGTCGTGTGGCTTGAGCTTTGGGCCCGGGCGCTGTCCCTGAACTCTTCAGCTCAAGGCTAGTGCTCTACCACTTGAGCCACAGCACCACTTCTGGCTGTTTCTGTTTATGTGGTACTGATGAATCGAACCCAGGGCTTCATGCATGCTAGGCAAGCACTCTACCACTCAAGTTAATCACCAAAAAACTGGAAGTGGTGCTGTGACTCAAGTGGAAGAGTGCTAGCCTTGAGAAAAAAGAAAAAAAAGGTCAGGGACCTGGTGGTGGTGGCACATGCCTGTAATCCTAGTTACTCAGGAAACTGAGAGACTGAGATTGCAGTTCAATCCAGCCTAGGCAGGAAACTCCTTGAGACTGTGTGTGTGTGTGTGTGTGTGTGTGTGTGTGTGTGTGTGTGTGTGTGTGTGTGTGTGTGTGTGTGTGTGTGTGTGTGTGTGTGTGTGTTATGGGGCTTGAACTCTGGGCCGGGGCACTGTCCCTGAGCTCTTCAGCTCAAGGCAAGCACTCTACCACTTGAGCCACATCGCCACTTCCGGTTTTCTAGTGGATTATTGGAGATAAAGAGTCTCACGGACTTTCTTGCTGGCTTTGAACCGTGATTCTCAGATCTCAGCCTCCTGAATAGCTAGGATTACAGGCATGAGCCACAGCACCCAGCTTCCTTGAGACTCTTTATCTCCAATAAACTACTCAAAAAACAACAACAAAGAAGCTGGACGTGGTTCTATGGCTCAAGTAGTATAACACTCTCACCTTGAAAGGCAAGAGAAACTCAGGGACAGCACCCAGGCACACACAGTTCAAGCCCCAGAACTGGCAGTAAAAAGAAAAAAAAAAAAAGTGCTTTTCCATTAGAAGGAACCAGAAGCCAGAGGATTCCCCGCCCAGGACCACCCCTAAAGTGACGACAGGGCCAGACTTGGAGTTAATTGACAGATCATACAGTGAGATACTACACATTTTCCGGGAAACAGAATAGCCCTTATTTGCATATCACCCTCCAACCATGCATTGTGATAAAGAAGAATTAAACACTTGTCAACATGAATTTAAAATGACAGCAATTCAGGACATCAGTGTGACCTTCCTGGAGTTCAGGACATGCCAAGAAGGGCTGGGGAGGATTGAAGCCCTGCAGAGGCCTGGGGAAGGCCGCTCCTGTCTACCTCTCCTGCGGCCAGTAGAGGCCTCACTCCTGCCTTTCCTCACAATGAAATCCAGTGGGGCTGTGGCACACAGCGCTGACCTTGAATCTCTCTCTACTCAGAAACTTTCAGTCCTGGGTATCTGGCTTATCTGCTGCTGTAGAGATTCCTTGGGTGGTGGTTGCTGCTGCTGCTTCCTCTTCCTCCTCCTCCTCTTGGGTTAGTACTTCGGCTTGAACCTAAGGCCTTAGAGTTTTCATGCAAGGCTGGCATTCTACGTGGAGAGCTGGTGAATTGGACGTGAGTCTGGCTGAGCTGGCTTGGAACTGAGATCTCCAGATCTCAGCTTCTTGAGTAGCTGGGATTACAGGTGTGAGCCACAGGCATCTGGGCTCATACCTTATGGTTAATAGCCCTGTCCATCTACAGGCGTGCTGACTACTGAATAGTTGCAATTCTTTATTTACACCAAAGTTAGTTTTATGGATGGTTAGCAATCCTGGTCCCAAAGTCCATAGTGAGTAGCCATAGAGAGACTTAAGCCAGGTGCCAGTGTGAGATCTAAGGGTCAGTGGTTCGAAGCCAGCCGGCTCAGGAAAGTCTGAGACTCTTACCTCCAAATAACCACCAAAAAGCCGGAAGTGGAACTGTGGCTCAAATGGTACAGCACTAGCTTTGAGCACAAAGAAGCTCAGAGACAGAGCCCAGGCCCTGAGATAAGCCCCACAACTGATTCCCCCCCCCCAAAAAAAGTGCTAAGGTGCAGTGCCTGAATTCAAGCCCCAGTACAAAGGGAGTCACAAAACGGGGCGGGAGAGAGACTTAGCTATACTAGTACCTTTCCAATTCCAGTCTTCAACTGCAGCTACAAGAACTTAACTACTCAATAATCCACCATGCTAGATCAACAGCTCATTTAATATGGTCGCAAGAGGTCAAGAGTCAAGCTCTTTAAGGGCTAGGCTATCATAAGGATGTCTTTTGTGTGTGCTGCATGCTCATGGATGCCAGTATTGAGGTTTGAACCCCGGGGGGCCCCATGCTCTCCCTTAGCTTTTCTTTTTTTGTGGGTCATGGGGGCCTGAACCCGGGGCCTGGGCGCTGTCCCTCAGCTCTTCAGCTCAAGGCTAGCGCTCTACCACTTGAGCCACAGCGCCACTTCCGGCTTTTGTATTTTTGCTTATGTGGTGCTGAGGAATCGAACCCAGGGCCTCAGGCATGCAAGGCAGACACTCCACCACTTGAATCACAGCTCCACTCCAACCTCAGCTTCCTAGGATGACAGCCATGAGCCTCTCTCTACACCGGGGCTCAGGATGTCACTCCTGTGGGACCCATGTGGTCTCCCTAAGTTCTCAGTTCTCAGATGGGAAACATCCCCTGTCCCTGGCCTTTGAACTTCCTTTGTCCAGACCTGGGGACGACGGAGGCCTGGGCTTGGGGCTGGTGGTAGGTTAGACACCAGGCAGAACTTTCTCCTCCTCTAGGTTCCCATCACTCGGGGGTCTGCTTTCCCCAAAGGCCGCACAGGCTCCTCCGCCTGAAGGGTCCCATCAGTCGTGTGCCTGGAGACGACTTCCCTCCCTCCCTCCCGAGGGGGACCCCGGGGGGGGGCCCCCCACGGCACAACGAATCTCCGGGACAACTTTATAGCCCTGATCTCTGGACCCAGCAGACCCGGGGAAGGGATGCGATGCTGCGGCGTGTTTCCCCCTCCCTCCCCTCCAAGTCCTGGGGCTGGCTGGCTGGCCCAGGGACTCGGGGGGGGGGGGACCACGCGGGGATTCGGGGGGACCGCAGTTCAAAGCGCAGGGGGGCGCGTCCGCCGCGCAGCCGGGAATGTCCGGCCGCTCAAAGCGCTCGCCGGCTCTTTTGTTCCCCAGACCCGGC